TTTCCCTCAAGTGCCTGTTGTAATTTCGGTGAACCTTTTCACACTGCCCTTATTTTCACACAAAACCGCAATGAGAAAAAAGCGCAATGAGAAATCAGAGGCGCAATGTGATAAAGGTTTCCCACGTAGTTGCTGATTATCTGAAAGCTGGTTTAAGCTCTGGGAAGAAGTGAAGGCGTTCTGTCCTGTTACTCATAGACGGTTGATTTGGAAAATATCATATTATATTTGAAACAGAACTACAAATTAAAAACTTGTTTCTCTGAAAAATCTTACTCGAGAGATATAGCATGAAACTGATGTGTCCAAGCACACAGATGTTATGAGAGCATCTTTCTGTTTGATTTGATTACATTCTTCATGTACTTTACCTTGCAATTTTACTTTGTTTACTGTGCTGAGCACTCGTGATAGATCTTTGACTGTGGTTAATTTTGTTTGCTTTTCGTTTTATTTTTTTGATAACCGATTTTTCCTCTCCTGTCTACCTGATGATTTTTGAATTGTTTGTCTGTATATAGCTATAGACATAGATGCTACTGGCTTAGATGCAGAAGACAATGATATTCCAGCAAACCACCGCTCCCCTAAACCCAGTGCAAACAGTGTAACGTCACCCCACTCCAAAGAGAAAAGAATGCCCTTCTTTAAGAAGGTAACATGAACTTCCAAGCTTGCGTCTGTCCACGTGCTCAACTGCACTACGTCACATTTCTAGTCCTGTGGACTGTCTGCGTCCTTGATAAAGCCAATAACATGCATGCTTTGTTATTCTTTGTTTCTTTTCCATGCTGCTGTAGCTAAGCAGAAGCAGAGATCGGTAAGTTCACATTGACATAAGCTGTGTTTATCCTGCCCCTGGCATCATTAGCATTCAATCCCACAGTTTTATTCGATACAATCAGTTCTGTCCTATGAAAAGAACCTATCAGGCCGCTAACTGAGTCCATGCATTTCCAACCAACTAAATTCAGTGAGTGACCTGTGAAAGCACCATTGCAGTACTTAGCCTTTTTGATGGAATAATATCTACCCCCCAAGGGCATTCGTTCCAACATTCAAGGACCGTCAAACGCTGACAACTCCATGGAATGCACCTCTCTTGTGCATGCTTCTGTCTCTGTCTCTCTTTTCTGCAGAAATTTAACTGATAATCAAGCCTATTAAAACCATCATTATATTCTGATTTATGATATCCAGATACATAGCTTGTACTAAGACATTTTTTTCAATTCTTCAATTTTTAATTTAGTCAGCACTTAAACTTCTGATCCACTAGGTGCAAAATCTGCCAATGAACAAGACCAGTGGGAAACTGCAGGCTTGTTTTGGCGGTTTACTGTGAGTTTCTCCTATTGTCATATATAAACCCTCTCCCGGTGTTACTCAGACCTCAGCATCCCCCCTGTCGGACGGCGGCACGGTGGCTATGCGTGCGTCGAGCCTGTGCCGCTGGCCGAACGAGATGCTACCCAGTGATGTTTTTCGTCCCCTGGCTGGAAACTAGGCTATTGCTGCGCTCCACTGATTCCAAAGTCTGTTTCCTCCAGCACGTTTTGTAGCTCCAAAGCGTTATTTTCTAAGGATACCTCCCCTACAATCCCCTTCCTTTCCTTCCCTTCTTTTACACACCACTGCCCACCGCCTGCTGTGCTGTGCTGTCTTTTAGAGTTATTCTTTGTGACGTCAGCAAGTCCGGCACAACCTCTCATGACACTCAGGGGTGGAGTAGAATCTACTCCCCCTTCGGCTGTCCACGCCCTGAGCTCTTCTCTGTGCACAAGGATTCTGCCCTGTGGAGGAACTCTGAGTCATCAGTGAGGTGTCAGATGCTGAACCTGGGTTTCGTTTTGTTTTTTAAGTAAATTATGGTTGCTTTCATCATGGAAGACCTAGCCACTCCAGGCACAAACTAAAACACCTGGATTTTTGTGTGAACACCGAAAGCCCCAGCTGGATGTCCATCCACGACAGTGGGTCCATGTCTCTGGTCCTGTCTTCTTGTCACGGCTAAAACGTGCAGCCGGGTGACTCACAGTGTTCAGAGCATCAGAAACCTAGAAACGCAGCATTGCTCAGCTGCTCTGGGCTTTACAGAACAGCGACAGGAGCGAAAACCACGTTCGTTGATAGGTTTTTGAAGTTGGCTGACTCTTAAATTCCAAAATTTGAAAAATGTTTATCGTAGTTCTTCCACTAAATAATTGGAACACATTGCACTTAGCAGGAAAGGGTAGATGAAAAGGAAGGTGTCATGATCCATAGAGCACAGAGTACCAATATTCCATCAAATAAGGTAATTTCTGCTACGCTACTGATAAAGAGGCTGATTTACCAGCATGGGTGACACTTTGCTAGTTGGCAGTCACAAATCAAAGGAACCCAAGACCCGTCCAATACTGGGCCACTGCATAGTTAAAGACCTGAAATAAAATTTCTTGGGAGCTGTTCCTAAAATGCGTGCAACTTATAACAGTGGAAAAGGTATTCTTAGACTGCATTAGTTATAAGGACTTGGTTTCTAAACACTTTCAACATGATCTCAGGTGGTATAAGTGCAGTAATTTCATGAATTAATTTGATGAATGAATTTAATGTAATCATTTCATGAATATGCTTATGATGCCTTCGGCACTGGTATTCATTCTTCTTATGTTACTGATGATGTGGTCAGCTTCAGTGTAGAGTTCAGAAACCAAAAGAAACAACCTGAGATGCAATGATAAGATTTTTTCCATGTTTTAGGTTGCTTTTAGAGTGGTGCTTGTGTGGCATTTGTGCTGTCACTGTATTATGTTTGTCTTGGTTTTTTTTTTTTTTTCCTTCTTTAAAAGTGTATTCCACCTTGATTGTGTCTATTAAAATTCACTTTGAACACTGAAGTTTTCAGCGGTAAAATCTGACAGCCCAGTCACAGTAATATTTTCTCGCCTTGGATTAGATTGTCTGTGACTATTGGCAAAAGCTCAGATGGAACCTTTTGAATTTGAAATGCTTTTTCATCCCCTCCCCCTTCCCCCCAGTGAGTTAAATTCGATCGAAGTCAGAAAGTTCGTAAAGGGCCATTTTAAGCAACAGTGACGTGTTCTTGAGCAACGGCCTGGTGCAATAATGACATTCACATTTGCGATGTGTATCAAATTCTCCAAATAGTTTGGAGAAGTTTTTTCTTTGGGTCTGTGTGATTCTTAAAATATATTTTTTTTCAGACACTCCTCAATGCAGGAAGATTCCTGTCACCATGATTTGTTTATCCCAGTGTCTCAGGCCATAGTTAACAGTTTCTGCTATTAAAATAGGGGATTTTAAGATCATCAAACAAATGAGTTATCTAATTTTTGGAAAAAGCTTTATTTTCATTATTTTATTGGAAGCAGGAGAGCTGAAAATTGTTGTAAGTTTTAGAAATTGCTACAAAATTAGGTCCTCTCCCTGCTCTTCTGTAAAAGAAAGAAATTATTGTGGGAGGGCATGAATTAGTTATGTAACAGAAACACCTCCTAAACAGTTCTTAAGAAGCATATGAGATGTGCAAGATGACAGTGAACCTTTTGTGGCCACGGAGGCCTGCTTGGATATATTATCACACACACAGGAACCACCTTCCCTGCAAGGCACATAAACCTTACATTGCGAGTGTTTAAGTTCCAAGGGATAGAAACCAAAAATCTAAAAATGTGAATCCCTCAGCTGTGAATAGTGATCGTGATTCCCTCTACTGGAACAAGCATGCAGGCTCATCTAAACTCTCACAGCGAAATAGAAACTGTCAAGTATTTGGCAATGTTTTGAAATGAGGCTGTATCCAGGTAAGACCAACATCTAAGACCCAAATTCTTTTCCTTGTAATTAACCACGTGAGGTCTGATCACTCGACTCTTGAGAAAACTCAGATGCCACCTGAAAAGCAATATTAACCTCCAGTCAAGCCTAAAAGCACCTCTCCTGCATGAGGCATGTTTCTGTCTGTTCTACCAACTAGCTTCTGTTCAAAAGCAGCCCCTCCTGCTTTAGGAACGTGAGGAGCATTTTTTAAGGAGAGCCAGAGAACTGTAGAGAACTCAATCACTTTGAAACGTGAGAGAAGTAAACCCACCCAGTCTTGGATTGGGTTTATTTAGAAAAAGAGGCAAGTGAAAAAAAAAAAAAAGGAAATGTCTGGAAAGGTAGTGCCTCGTATAGCAGAGTTGAGACAGAACAGTTTATACATAAGAGATTTGACTTCCTTCTGCCTTTTAACCATCTGAAGGCATCTCCTCTCTCTCTGCAGACAGAGCACACCCCTCCTTATGACGTGGTCCCTTCTATGCGACCTGTGGTCCTGGTGGGCCCCTCTCTGAAGGGGTACGAGGTAGGTAGCTGCCCCCTGGAGTACCCTGGACCTTGCATGCCGAACTGCTTTGCAACCCCACCTCCCTCTCCTGACTCTTGAACTTAGAAAAGAGCTGCGGCACTAAAGCATGTTGTTTTCAAGCCACAGTGTACGTTGCTACCTGTTCTGTTCTATTTTGTTTTCTTGGCTGTTGCCTCGTGAGCTACAGTTGACTCAGTCTGGAGAGAGAGTATCAAATGGAGAGTGACTGAAACCCCTTGCGATGTCATTAATTGTCACTCCGAGAGTGAGTTTGGGGAACTTTGTCTTTTTGATTGTTACTGTCTCAGAGCTCAGCGACGGAAAACAGGGGCGACCTCACATGCTACTTTTTCCCAGTGGAAAGCCCAGGTTTTCAAACATTCTTAAGGGTAGTAAAATTGTTTTATCATAATTAGTAATATTTTACTGTCTCTTATTGCTTACTCAATTGCAGGTCACAGATATGATGCAAAAGGCATTGTTCGATTTTTTAAAACACAGATTCGAAGGGCGGTGAGTATTTCAGAATTCTGGGTTTTGTGGATTTTTGTTGTGAAGATGATGAAACCTGGGTGGGACAGGCATGTGATCCCAGGAGGAAACTCGCTTCTGAAGTCTCTGTGGTGACAGGAAGAAAGTGCCGTTCAGTTCGATCGGATTCAGTCAATATTTGTCATATTTGCTCGGCACATCCTCAGCTCTCTGTTCTTACACCTGCATCCGTAAGCTGAACTTGGCCAAACCCCTGCTGACGAATCTCACCCTAAATTCATGATCAGCTGGCCCTCAATGCTGCCCAGAAATCATACTCTATATGCCTCTTCCATGCACTTTTCTACTCTTCTGAAAGGCTTTCACACCATTTCCTCTCTCATCAAACCCTTCTCTCGAGCTCTCCCGGGAATTTGCTTCCTATTTCATTGAGAAAACAGAGACAAACAGAGGAGACGGTCCAAGCGATCCCACCACCACACCCATACCCCCTTGTGTATTTGCCTGAATGCTCTGCCTTTTCTCCTGTTACTGTGAGCAATGACCCCTACCTGGGTGCTAGATCCCATTTCCCCATCCCCACACCAACACAGCTATCACGGCCCTTCCCTCTCTCCTCAGCAGTATTTCTCCTTCTAATGGAAACACCATCAGCATATAAAAATGGAGTTGTTACCCCTTTGGCAAAATTTGACCTCATATGCCCCTCTAGCTGTCCCGTTTTCCTTCTTTTCTTTATAGCAACTCTCCTTGAACAAGTTGTGTGTACTTGCTCTCTCCTGAGTCTCTTGAACCTACTCCAGTTACCTCCCCATCACTTACCCCAAACTAGTCACGTCAGATCACCAGTGACCTTCACGTCGAGAAATCCAGGAGGGGATCCTCAGCCCTCCTCCTAATCAACATGGCGGACTGCTCCATCCTCTTCTAAATACCTCATTTGCTTGGTTTCTGGAGCCACACTTTTCCGGGTTTCTTCTCTCTGACCAGCAGCTCCGTTGTCTCCTTGGCTGGCTCTTCATCGTCAGCTTGACATCTTGGAGAGCCCAGGGCTGTCCTCTGTCTCCCCTCCTCTATCCACACTCCCTGCTTTGGTGACTCCATTCGATGTCGGACTTTTAAATAGCATTTCTTTGCTGGTCTCTCCTCTGAATCCCAGACCCGTATGTCCTACTGTCTGTGCAACATCGTCACTGAGGTGTCTCATGGACTTCTCAAGTTTGACCTCCCGACTCCCCCTATCCCCGACCTGCCCCTTTCCATCTTCCACCTCTCCATTCATACCTCCTCGTCTCTTGGTCCCAAGACCTTCTGTCCTGGGACACGGACTCGTCCTTGGCTCTTCTTTTCCCCTTACGTTCCACACGCAAGTGCTGTTGTCTGTCTCTCCAAAATGTATCAAGAATCTCCCCACTTCTCACGCATCCTCTGCCATCCATTTGGTCTGAGACACCATCGTCTCCTCCCGAGATTAGTGCAGTAAATAGCCTCCTAACTTGTATCCTTGCTTTGAGCTTTGCTTCCTTCAAGTCTGCTCTCAGTTCACGACCCTGTCGCACTGTGAGCTGGATCTTTCCCTCAGTGAAAATCAAAGTCCTTCTGGTGGCCTACATGGCCCTGTGTGGTCTGACCATTCCAAATCCCCACCCGCTCCTTCTCTTTGACTGTATCTCGTACTCCACTTCCCTTTGCTCATTCTCTTCCTGCCTCTTACTTCCTTGCTGTCCTATGAGTGTTCCAGACAGTAGATGCACGCCCACCTCGGGGCCTTTGCACTTGCAGCTCCCGTGCTAGGAACTTTCCCTCAGATATTCTCCTTGGTATATGTGCATGCGCGCACACACACACACACACACACACACACACACACACACACACACACAGACACACACACACATACACATACACATACATTCTCTCTTCCGTCCCTGGCTTTTTCCCCGTAACTCTTTCATGAGTTTTATTTATTAATTTCCTTTGTTGTCATTCTCCCACAATTAGAATATAAGCTCCACGAGGGCAAGGGTTTTAATCTGTTTTGTGAACGGTGGTGTTCTCAAGGCCTAGAACAGTCCTCAGCGTGAACAGTGAATGGACGGATGTTGAAAACATGTCTGCTGGAGGGATGCAGAGATGTTGAAGCCATTCACCGTGTCTGCCTGTGAGGAGCTCATGTGTAAACCGTAAACTGAGACCTTGAGCAGTAAAATATCAAGTGAATGAAAAGACAGCTCGGCACTTATGTGTCCAAGGTACAGGCAGCATAAAGGGAAGAGGAATTAACACTGACTTAGGGATGTCAGCATCCAGGAAGGGTTTTTAAATGGTACCTAAGATTTTACCAAGTGAGTTAGGAGGAGAGGCCATGTCCAGTAGAGGGTCTAAAGTGTGTGCAGGCATCAAGGTGTGACACAGCATCCTGGAAGCCACCTAGAGGCCTTCAGGTGAAGTCCCTAGGGTAGGGGGTGACCAGTAACAGAGCCGGGCCCATCTTTAGCGTGTCGTGTTAATCAGCTTGGACTTAATCCAGCCCTTTCCCTCTCCATCCCTTCAGCAGATTCTTCTTGAGCATATTCTATGAGCCAGGCGTCGTGAGACGCAAAATCAGACGACAGCCTTGGCTTCGTGGAGTTTACTTAGGGTCTATTGAAAGGAAGCCTTGAATCGAATAACCAGTGGGCACCGTAGTAAAGGTTAACTTCTGAAGCGTCAAAGATAGGATTGGAGTCTAAAATGGAAACTTCCAAATTTAAACTAAGAATAGATTATCAGGGACCCGGGAGCATGAAGGGCGAGGGTAATACTTCTGTATTTTTAATGAGACAAGTTGGGTGCCTCTCTTTTCCACATTCCCTTTCTTCTCCAACCCGACAGTTACCAGTACAGTAGATGGAATCTGTAGGTTGCACTGTTCTTTTAGATTTCTCAGTTGAATACTTTCTTCCCTGATCACACAGGCTCGGCTCCTACAACTGTTAACTCATTTATATTGACTTCTGGTCATGAGGTAGGAGATAGACAGGCCCCAGGCTGAGCAGCCGCAATTGGTTGCCCGCTGCCCTTTGACAGACCAAAGATGGGCACAAGCAAGATGACTGGCCAGAGACAACCCGGAAAACTGCCCCCATATAAGCAACCTCAGCCACCCCATTTGCACACAGCTCACGCCAAGTCTGCCCGTGTGCTCTTCCACGCGTACTTTGCTTCTAATAAACACGGTCTCTTTGCTGAATTCTTTCTTCAAAGAAGACAAGGACCAAAGTCCTTCCAGCTGTTCCACAGCGGGAGTCAGGAGGGGAGGCAGGCAAAGAGGGAAACTTTTATAGCAGGAGAAATATTGTCAGTCATCAAGCAAAGGACTGAGAGATAGAAAACAAACAATAGAATCTGTGTTTCAAGAAAAGACTTTAGAATCAAAGTCTGCCTAATCAAAATGCTCCTAATTGGATATTTTTGTTTTTCATAACTTTATGAAATATAATTTATTTCATGCCAGGACACTCAGCTTGGTCCTTGGACCTTTGGCTTGATGCAAGGCTATCAGGCTCTGGCCACGTATAAAAGGCAATACCTCTAATCGGGCCCACGTAGAGCCTTCACCTCCTTATTCTTGACTTTGTCATTTATCACCATTTGGAATTGTCTACACGAGCGTGCTTACCCAGAAAATTCTGCTAGACTAGGCACTTTGCTTTCCGTGCCTGAGTTAACCCACTGCCCTTTTCTAAATGCCGAAGATGGGGAAATGAGGTGGGGTTTCCTGACTTGCCACTTCTATTTCAACCTAAGTTTTGAACTTGGAAGATAGATTCCAGCCATAGGGTGTATCTTGGACCCATGTCCTAAAAGTATCAGCCATCCAGACTGATTTCATTTAAGAAACAAACAAAGGCAATATCTCAATGTTGTATCAGTCTTTTGTTTCTGGCCAGAAGTGATTTCCATATGGCTTTATGGGTGGATCTGCCCTGGCTCATCTGAACTCATAAAACGGGTTCAACACTCTAGACCTGTGATCACCAATTAAAGATCCTCAAAGGAAGTAACAGGGTCCATGAGGGAGAATTTCAAAAAGCTATGCGAAACTTTAACTTTTTTACTCGAGGCAAGACATCCAGAGCTACTGAATCATTCGGTGTCTGCTTTTGGTCAGCCAGACAGCAACAGAGGGTGGAAATCCATCACAAGTATCAGGTGTGTCTAATTCTAAATAGACATGTAATTCTAGAAGGGAAAAATGAATGACTCCTGAATTATCTATTAAATAAACAAAATTTATTTTTTTAAAAAAATGTAAAGCCCAAGAGGGAGAAAATAGGAAAGGAAGGGCTGGGGATGAAAAGATTCTTGACAGGAATTCTTTTCTGTCTGAAACCCGGTTAGGTTCATTTGTGGAAGCCCTGGAGAGTTGTCAGGATCATGATCCTGGTTGTTAAAATAGCATTAAGTGTGTCAGGTCAAAGAAGAGATGATGAATCATTATCCTTTCTGTTATGTGCAGTAGAGGAGCCCATTTACAGTCGGATCCACCCTAAACAACTGTGCCATCCCGTGAACAAAGCAATCTTCCTGTTCACCTAGTAGCACGACAGGTAAATTAACAAGAAAGTCGGGGGCGAGAAGGAAAGCCACCATCAGTGATGAATTCGGTTGTGTCCTCTCCAGTGATTCTGAAAATGTCAACTCTTGACAGAGAAGCGTTCAGAATGCATACTGAATTCTGTAGGGATGGGTCCATGACCTTGTGCGAAGGAATCTTCCTGGAAATCAGTCATCCTGGAAAATAGTACATCACTTTGTCAGGTGGGAAATGTACTTAGACGTGAGACAGCTTCTTCTAAACCGGTGGTTATCTACCCTGGCTGCATATTAGAATCATCTGCAGAGGTTTAAAAACAAAAAAAAAACCACCAAAGCCTTATATCCCACCTGTGACTAAGTGAAACCCAGTGTCTAGGATGGGACTTCATGTAACTGTAAAATCTTTCCTGGCAACTTCGATACACTGTGAGGGTTGAGGACCACTCCCCTACACTGAATTGTCCCCAGAATTTGGCCCTTAGGACTTTGAAGGTCTGTTTTTTTGGCGGAACCTAAGGAGTTGCAGTAGAACCGTGGCTGTCTTCCACAGCCTACAGAGCGAACCACGTAAGCAGTCTGATTTCATTTGTGAATGCCTTGGGAAGTCATAATGAAACTAAATATGTTTAAGTTGATGTGATTAGTATCTCTTTTCTGGTTATCGTTTTTTCCACGTTAAGTAATTCTGTCATCAAAGTACAAAAAGCTTAATCAAATAGACTTACTTTTTATAAATAGGGGTCCCGCTCCACAATAAAAAGGAATGAACTATTGATACACACAACATCGTGGACGAATCTCAGATCCATTATGCAAAATGCAAGAGGCGCAGCTCAAAAGGCTACAGTGATGCTCTGGAAAAGGCAAAACCATAGGGATGGAAAACAGCTCCATGGTTGACAGGGGTGGGGTGGGGCAGGCGATGGAACTGTCCTGTGTCATGAATGTGATGGTGGATACAGGACTTTATGAATTGGCCCAAATTCAGGGACGTGTACACAGTAAAGGATGGATTTTACAGTATATAGATCAACAGATCTTTTTCTTTTTGTCTTTTTTTTTTTTTTGCAAAAGCCAGTAATTCCCTTTCCACACTTTACTGAATGTCCTCCTCTCAGAGGGCAACTAGTTTTAACTCTTTTAACTGTATCTTTTGGTATTTATTCCTTGCCTCTAAATCATGTGCTTCATTTGCTGCTTGAGTTTTCACTGCTAGGCATTATCTCTGGGCTGCCTGCCGTGAAGACTGTTTAGCTCTCTCGTGCATATTCCTCCTTTCGCTCTTACATACACGCACCTGCATCCATCTCATCCTCTAGTCTCCCAACAGTTAAATCATAATTTTGGCTGGTTCCATATACTGGATGCATTATGACCATGTAAATAAAATTTCAATGAGCCATGTTGTATACTCACATTACTTTTTTCTTGTGTGTTTTCTTTGTGGTTTCTGTGCGATTAATAATTTTGCTTTTTACACGTGCTTAATTTTCTATATAGCTGGCACCAGTCAAGCCCCACATTCTCCCCTGGTTGTCTCAAGTTCCTCACGATATATTCATACACATCCAGTAGTCCCTCAGCTGTGCCTTCTTGAACCGCT